AAAAATCCAAGGCCTACTTTTTTCAACATATTATTTCACAAAATTTTTCGTAATTATTGTTAAATTGCATTTTATATTTGCCAGCTCTTTTAACCGTTGATTTCGAATAACTGTGGTATGAAATTTGTTGGAATGATCAGCTCCGGTGATTACAAATTGATCCATATGAACAATGTTATCTATAGGCCTACACATGTAAAGGGCATAAAACGATACGGTATTTCTTTAGGTACCTAAAACAAGTTAATGAAAATTTATATAAAATATTCATGAGTGAGTTTGAGAAATCAATTATATAAGGCCCTCAAGATGCTACTTTGTCGAAGCTTCCGGTGGATTTTTAAAAAGTCCACTTTTTAAAACCTTATTTCGCCAAAAAATTATCGTGAAATGTTATAGTATGCATTGAATTTTTGCCAGCTCTTCCAACCGTTGATTTTTAATAACTATGGTACGAAATTTTTTGGAAATTATGCGCTACATTGATTGCAGATTGATCCATTATGAACAATTTTATATGTAGGCCTACATATGTAAAGGACATAAAAATGTTATTTCTTCAGATCTATAAAACACCCAAATAAATGAAAATTTAAATAGAATATTCACAAATTATGGGTTTCAGAAATCCTATTATATAATGCTCTCAAAATGCAACTTTGTTGGAGCGTCGACCTCCAAATTTCAAAAGTCATTTTTTTTTATAACCTACGGTATTAATTCAGTAAAAACGTTCCTAAATGCTATAGTTACTAGCTATAGCATGCATTGCATATTATTTGCCAGCTTTTCCAGACATTGATTTTAATAACTGTGGTACGAAATTTGTTGGAAATTATTAGCTCCAGTGATTGGAGATGGATCCACTATGAACAATTAAATGTTACCTGTAGGCCTAAAAGGACATAAAAAGTTACAAATTTTAGGTCCCTATCAACACCCAAATTAATAAAAATTAAATAGAATTTATAAGCCGAAACCCCGAAAATTCTGCCAACAGGCCTGATATACACTTTATTGACATAAACGTGTAAGACTGTTTAAGTAACTCCAAGTTGGTTCTCAACTATTTAAATTGATACATATTTTTTAAATACAACTAAAAATAATAAGCGTGAGGCTATTAACTTTTTCTTTGTAAATAATTTATTTCAAACGAAATTCAACAATCATAGCATGGAGCTATTGTATGTAAAAATATATACAATAATACCACTAATATTCATTTCGTTTAGTTTAGGGACCGTCGCCAGTCCATAACCAATATTCTCAGGGTAACAATGATTTTGAACAGGACGGGTTGTTGGCCCAGCAGTCGGTTTTATTTTTTTTTCCCCGGGATTTCCTTCCCTTAGTATTAGCACAATATTGCAAGATATCGGTTACCAGGGACGTAAATTTGGTTTGAGTACTCTCGGGTTATCGACAGGCTACTCCTTTACAGAATATTACGTGGAAGTTAAAATGATGACGTCACGATTGACTTATTGTTACAATTGAAACTTATTATAGACATAATTATTACAAATTTAAAATTAACATTAATAATGAATTTTCAAGATTTGAAAAAAAATACTGTATACAATAATGATCCCTGCTTTTTTAAAATAATATGATTCGTGTAACTTGTAAAATCATATTGTAAAAACTGCTTATTCTCCATAAAAAGCAACTTGATTGTCCTTGGTAATAATGTTGCTATTTAAATCGAGTGGTAGTATAATAGTTCATTAAGTCGTATACTGTTATTTTTTTTTCAGCCGAAATGAACAAAGTGTAAATAGTTGGTATCAACAGAGAGTCATCGTCGAATGCATCTATCATCAAAATGCGTCATAGCTCTGCATCTCCTCTTTCTTGTCCTTATGGACAGGGAGCTTCTGATTCCGTGACGACGGTACGGTCTACGACATAATGGCCTGACGTAGAATCCGCTGCGCATGCAAAGGACATTGAGTTTTAGTTTCAGTTTCGGGGCCTCTCCCCGAATGTTAATCCATTAAGAACATAGCTATTTGTTGAACCTTAGCAAAAGTATTCAAAGGGCGGGGGCTTAGCGGATATGGTCCATTTCAGGAGGCGCAGTGTGGTCAGAATCTACGTTGATGTACAGAGAACGCGGGATGATCATGCTTGAATGAATCTGTTCAAGGGTCACGTCATTACGTAATAGAAAGCTCCCTAACTCAGTCTATAGTTCTCATAAACCATGGAGGTATAAACATTTTATACCTCCATGTATAAATATAACACCTTATAATTAGCAATCAAATGTTGCCTTAATGATAAAAGAAAATGATTAATCATCTTCGTTGGTTTTAAACAAATTGTTACTCTTACTCACACAATGTTCGTACTATTTTTCTATCTTTTATTACTAAAACATTACATTATATAATAAATAAATTCTATCTTCAAAAAATGTTATACAAATTTGCTAACAAATGCTGATACTACTGTAATCCGTGTTTTAAATTAGGCCTATATAAAAGTTTGAATATACTACGTACTGTCTACGTACAAGGTGATCGGTCCCGGCTAAATGATGCAGCACGTATGTAGTAGGTTTATTTCTTGTTGTTTGTTTGCTTCAAATATTTTCTTACTTTTCAACGAATTTTGTAAAAATCAAGAATATTTTTATCTGTCCTTCAGCCAAGATCTATAACCAAAGCTACACTAGAATTTATATTTGAAATAAGAAAAACTTAAACAGAATAAATATGTATTTTTTAGTACAATTATTGTTTATTTTCTGATATTATCATCGTCATCATCATCATATTATTTAATTATTAGGATTATTTTTATATCGTGAAATCAAGTTACTAGTTATAATAATTCTGATATAACCCTGTGACATTAGTTTAAACTTGTTGAAATAATAAATGAAAAGTTATAAAATATAGTAACGTAAATTCAAATAATATAGTCTTATTATAATGGCACAATTGCCAGTACAAATTGGCTAAACCTAACCATAAACCTAACGAATCAATATTTAATGCCTTTTTGGCCAAAAGTTTAAAGTATACAGGTACAGTACTTTATTTTAGGGCAAGCGTACATTAGCCCAAAATACATGTACCAAACTAGAATAATTATACAACATTTAAACGTAATTTTAATTACATAATATAGTGAATTCAAACGAATTAATGTCTTTTGAACAATTAACTATAATCTCACCAATAGTCATAGATTGAATTTTTACGTTATACTAATATAGCCTACATTTTTATTAAGTATTCTTAATATTTATGTTATGTACCAGTACATATAATTATTTAAATAAATGAAAAGGTAAATAAATATGTCTGTTAAAAGAACAAGCGAGAATAACTAAATCAAGGTGGTTCAATTAAAGAGCTAATTATTATTTGAGATGAGTTACGTAATAATGCCATAATAGGTAATTATGAAATAAGTACGGTAAGTGTATTACTAATGCATACGAACCATTCACGCTTTATAAGACTCACCATATGAGCCATGACGTAAAAACAAGACATGAATATATTCAAGGCTTCGGTATGCATATATGCCATATTCTTCCATTTGCTTAAATAAATAAAATTCAATTGCACATTTTTTGCTGGCATAAAGACCGTTCGAATTGGAAAAGCTCGTGTTTGCTCTCATCATTGGCTTACTGTTGCTCTCAGCAGCAATCGCGTCATCATCGCGTCATACCTGAGACGTCCTCTCTTGTTGAAAAGAACTATCAATCATGGCAACCCTCTCATGACTTGTATTTTGTTCAACAGCCCCAGCTTCTTCCATAGCTTTTAGCCGTTCGATCCGATCTGTTTCAATAGATCTCCTATCAAAATAATATAGCACATGAAGTAATAATATATATAGAAGCGTGAACGTCATTGAAAAACACATTTTTCCAAGTAAGCGGGTTATTAGGAAGGTATCGAATGCAAACTTACAGAAACGATAAGAAATATGGCCTACGGGAACAATCCATTATTATTAAAATTTGAATATGAATAATTATATTTCATCTTTATTTTCAATATGTCTCTCGTTGTACAGTACAATGACGTTAATATCTTAATGGGCAAGCATAATAACATAACACAATTACATAGATCATGAGCCCAATATTTGTTTTAACAACCTTAGATTGCAATACGTTGAGAGTGTCTGAAGAGCACAGTAATGTTAATAGCAAGTACCATTATGTCATCCATATCATTTATAGTGCGTTTGACATCTACGTGCAATAGCATGCCCATGTACATTTTACATTCATGTAGACAAATAAATTTGCATTTATATATAATATACATATATCATATATATATCATATATTTGAATATATATGTGTCATATATATAATATATATGCCTATATAAAAGCATATATATAAGCATATATATATATAGCAATAGCATGCCCATGTACATACATTTAACATTTATGTTTATAAATAAATTTGAACTTATAATATATATATATATATTATATATATTTGAATATATAGGCCTAATATGTATAATATATATATATATATATATATATATGATACATAATATATATGTATATATATATATATATATATATATATATTAGTAAGGTATATATTTTATGTATAGGCCTATATATTGGAATTTAGACAAGTACTGACCTATATTTCAAGTAGAAAAGCACGCCGACAACAATGATAAGAATCGTAGCAACAAACATAATGCTGAGAACAATAATTGTTTCGTTCATATCCAGGAAAGAATCTGTAGAAACAGAGAGTAGCGATGAGGAAAAGGTGAAAAACGAGGTACAACCTCTATCATCATAATAGTACTTGGAAAAGAAAATGTTAACATGATGGAATGAGTTTTTAGGAAAAGTCACCTTTGGTGACAGGATGTTAAGAAGGAGCCTTTTGGTGAAGTGGGCGAAGAAATTGGTGCATGAGTGGTAACATAATAAACAAAGTAAAACGAAGATAATAGTGATGAAACAAAGTGAAGAAATAAAAATTCAGCGCACAACACACAAAAATGACAGATGCCTATATGGCTGGTCGCCAGTCGCCAGAGAATAATAAAAGCTTATAATAGGCATAATATATATATATATATATATATATACTAAAAAGATAATGACTGAAACTCTTTTGAGATACCAATTTGGTAAGTGAAAGCTACAAATGTATATGTAATAAGCTTATATAAGCGTATAATATATAATTGAAATGATTGGGAGTGAGTGGGTGGTTGTGAGTCGATGCAATTTAACAATATTTAAAGTTTAGACAACAATAATAATATTAATGTATATGCCGTTAAAAAACATGCACAGCACACAAACAGAATACTCTGTTTGGTGCAAGTTATATATCGACTTATTATAGATACATATATATCGAATATAAGTATGTAAATAATATAATATAATACAAAAATCTTTACATTTAGTAAATCAATTGAGCTGACTTAATCATCATTCTTGATATCGATTATGTAAAGATTGGAATATTGATGGTGTTTATGTTTGCATTATATAGTTTTTAAGCGTGTTGCCATGGTGAAGCACAAATAAAATCTTGAAATGTTGAAGACAATGAATGAAAGATATGATAACGTGAAACAAGCAGGGATAAGTGACACTGTTCAACGTATTGCAAACTGGACTGGTGTGAAAAACTACGATGCTCTATAATCACACATGCGCAGAACAAGGGTCGGTTATCATGCAGTTAAGCGTGTCAATTAGTTTTCACTTACTATTTGTAGATGTTGATTCAAAAGTCAATGTACTATAGTCAATCAATTCGCACTGTGCTCCGGCACGTCCAACCGGGCAACTGTAAGTAAAAATAATACCAATATTTATCAATCAATCAATGTGTTTATTGCTTATAACTCTAGATCGAAGCTTGAATACTCTACAGTTATATATAATATGTTACATGTAAAACAATCTAATCAGCTTTGATTCCGTCATTCGTTATTTCGTTCGCTTGTTCGTTCGATCGTTCGATCATTCATTCATTTCATTAATCAAATAAATAAATTATGTATTTATTCATGCATTAACTCATTCATTCACCTTTTAAAAATAAATGTACGTTATACATTATTATACTAATTACACTTTCGGTCACCAATGTGTAATTTGATTTCAGAGTTGATTGTCTCTACGTTTCGATGAAATTGCTTTGACTGTCATCAGAATGATAACGGTCAGTTTTTAGCTCCGATGAGGAGCGCTATGAATACCAAGCTGATTGATTAAAAGAACTTTTTTGTGATCTTTTTTGTAAGGGCGGCCGTTAGGGTCAATATAATCTACTGCCTCTATTATACTGCCCTCATCGGAGCTTTCGAAATTACGAGATCTTGTTTAATCTATTATTTTTACACATGGTGTGTACCGAAAGTGTAAAAATTGTATTATTTGTTACTCGCCATGCAAGCCTTCAAGAAATAATATACTTACAAACAGTGTGGGGCGGCGCCTCCTATTTGGTAACATGTTCCTCCATAGTAACATGTAAGTGTGTTGTTTTCATCACACAGCTCAACCATTGAGTTTCCAGGTCCTGGCATACTCGTTGTTTCAATTCCTACAGTTGTACCAATTATTGATGTTGTTGCCGCTGCTGTTGTTGTGGCTGAAATAAAAGCATAGTAATGTTCACATTGTAATATCTGCTAAGGTTAAGTATATAGCAAAATTTAAATTGTCCCCTTCCCACTACTGTTTGCTGTCGCTTCCTCTGATTATATTTTTTCATTATTCGACTTTTTTATTGGTGTTTGAAAGGCGAGTGTTACAACCACAATTTTAAGCATGCCAAAATTCAAAAATAAAAAACATAGAGCATCAAAACTTTCACTCACTAAGACTAAAAAATAATGAGAGCTAGACTATATAGCCCCATTGAGATATTTCCATTCTGCGACAGGCGAGTGTAGGCCCACATGTTGTTGGATGTGATGAAAGGATACATAAATATACTTAACTACATATAAACTAAATGAAAACTTATATCTGGAGTGCACCTTGTCAAATATAACAAACTAAAAAATCAAAGTTAAACTAAATAAAATTATTACATTACACATAGATTAAAAGTATATATTCATGGTTCAATTTTAAACTTACTTATAGTCGCCATAACTATCAGATGAAATAATACCAAACGTTCTACAGTAAGTCTGAGTTTTCGTTGCTATGATAGTCCTTACTCTTTAACAGCTTTCTTAAAAGTGATACTATTTCACTAAGGACGATCCGTTATATGAACTATTTCAATCATTGGAAAAAGCATGCGCAGAGTGATGTGGTTGTCTATATTTATACGCCTTTGTTCAATCTATTATTAGGTGGGTGTTCGGCATCCGGGCAAAAAAAAAAACAACATTATGTCTAATATAGCTACACTACATTTAATATAATATCCAGCATGGTATAGAATACACAAGCTACCGTGGCTAGATTAACACCTGTTGTTTTTTTAATTGCAATTAGGGAACTCCCCTTTTGAACGTCACATGTCAAAAAAGGGAAATCCCCATATTCCGTCATGTATTTGATTACCCACACTTTTTAATTTTTCCAATCAATAGTAAAATCTATGTAATATACAAATATGATACTTTGAACATGAAATAACAATAACAGTATATATAAAAGAAATTACAAATAACTTATCGTCAACACGATAATCTGCTTAGCCTAGGTTTATTTTTAACACTAGATTAAACAAATTACGGTACCGTACCAATTTATTTATATAATCTCCAAGCTGTATACATAACGTACATAATTTTCCCTATTTCTGTATTCTTTTACAGTTTGCCCATGGACAGTGCATCTTTTTTTTTATATTTTCCTTTCTTAACATTCATTATTTCGTGTTTCTATACCTCATGTAAAAAAGATTCTTTCTATTAAGATAATTAAATGTGCTTCAACATTGATAGGGTGGGCGAAGCGTGGGGTGGGGATTGGTAGAAACGGTTTAGAAATGTGTAAATGTAAATAACGAATAAAATTACCCATTTCTGTACACAGTTCTTTACTGCAATACTCGATAAACAACTTTTATCACAACTATTATCATTAGATGCATACAGTATACAAATATTGCAACATATCGCATTAAATTTTCTAAAGCAAATTAGTTTGAAATTTAATTATTTCCACAAACGTAGATCGTCAGTGATTGACGTATAATTACAACATCCTTCAATACACATAGTCTCGGTTACTTTATTTGATTATCACCACGTAACAAAGAACACTATTAGATGTTCTATAATGGATGTGTACTAATAAAATCCTACTTGAGTATCTCATTGTTGTGTGTGGTTTTTAAATTTGCACTAGATTCAACGCTCACTCAATATAAGATTGGAATGTTTGCTTTCAGATAATATTGCTGGAATTCTCTGGCCAAATCGTCGCCAACATATTATAAAGGAAAAAACTTAGGCCTAAAGGTGATGAAAGCTGATACATACGGTAGTCTATTAAACATGCACTCAAGTGCCGGATCTAGGGGGTCGGGACCGGCATGTTTCGGCCACATATTTAATCAAGGTATGTGGTGGTGAGGTTTATTGTATAATGTTTACACTCTAGCCTACATCATTCTAAATTGTAAGATTTGTTGAATCTACCCTAAGAATGTTTGCATATTAAACAATACGACGGTGGCTTGTGTGGGCCTCACGTATTGTGGGTTTAGAACTTAATTTTTACAAATACCGTGGGAACTTTTGAAATAATAAAACCATAAATACATATTTGACAAAAATAGATATCGAAGGTAATGCATTGACAAAAAACTCCCCTATTCAGAGCTAGCATACCAGTTGAATTAAAAAGAAAGAGACTAATAAATAAAAATATGTACAAGAACGCTCCTTATTCATCTTGAACAATAGAACCGAAAACGACAATATCTTAACTTAGTACACTATAACATTCCAAAAAACTATATATTAAGACAAGGGATTTTTTTATGATAGAAAAAAAAAAATTAAAGTGACCTTGTGATGATGTTATTATTTTTGTAAATAATGTGAACATTCTGAAATGAAACTCACAGAGCTCCTAGTCTCGTGATTGGCTGGGAGGCGGCACGAGAGTATCAGCAATTACATTAAAGTTCGGTTCACACACCCTGAGCAAATTAAACGCGCTTTTACGCGCGCGACGCGAAAAAAATATCCGGACGTTAACGATTTTTAGTGTGAACAACGAGTGAACGTGACTTGACGTACGCAAATGTTAACGCAGCGAAACTATGTTTCCGCATAAGGAGAATGACACAATTTGCGTTTACGTTACCGGCATCTTGCGTTTTTGCGTCAATCAATTTGTGTATGCGGTGAAAGAGAACTATAGGCTTCAGACTAGCGCACTCTTTGAAGTTAAGCGCGCGATGTTATGATATAACTATATACTTATAAGAGGGTTACTTTGATGTATTATTATAATGCTATCGCATCTATACATCAGACAGTATTAACATTTGTACAAATAAATTATCTCTACTTATCTTCCGAAAGGGGTTCACTCCTTTTGAATAAATGATGACAAAGGGAAAAACGACCAAAAGGCGACAACGAAACGTCACACAACAGTTAAGTTGTCTATGTTCTTTTCAAATCGTTTAAAATTTGAATTGTGGTTTTTAAATTGAATAAACTGTCGAATACCTTATATTTAAAAGAACAATGAGAAAGGAAGTGAAACCTTGTTCATACTGCCACCGGTATTCTGCTTTACATTTTCTTTTAAATCCAATGAATAATTGAGATTTATCTAATGCATTAAAGACCGTGTGAAACTGGAATCGACATAATTTGGTTTACAAAATACCATTGAAGGCGTATACAATCTTAATGGATTGTGTGTAAATCCCTTAATTAAATTATAATGAGTTCTGTAATAAAAATTAAATAGGACCTAAATAAATAATAATATTTCTAACAATGATAATGATACTACCACTAATAAAAATATAAATAACAATAATAGTGATGTTAATATACTACTAATTAAGTTTTTCTTCTATTTTGTGTTTAATCAAAAATTTATTTATGGAATGTTTTCAATTGTTGGGAAAATACAAATATTTACTTCTCATGTAATCACTAATAATAGAAAGACACGTTATGAAAGCATAATGGAATTTTACTTGCTTTGAAGGCGGGATACAAAATTGAAAAGAGAGATTTGTTGTGTTTTGTTAAAAATATGCAAAGAATTATTCACACACATGACGTAAATTTAGGTAATAATGATGTAATTATTGCGAAAGAACATAATAACTTACGAACAAAAAATAAAATAATCTTGTAAAGAATAATGCTGTTATAATGCAAAGCTTAATAGCTTCAGGTTTTGAAAGTAAGATATTATTTTAACCTTAAATACTGAATCCTATTTGCTGTTGATTGGATTTACAAAAAAAAAAAGCTTGCTAAAGTCTATTTCTCTATAAATATGATGGAGTTCGTCAGTATTATAATTGATGTAAGATGTAAGATATACAATCTTTTCACAAAATGAATGTGCTTGTGTCTGTCTTATTATTATTATTATTATTATTATTATTATTATTATTATTATTATTATTATTATTATCATTATTATTATTATTATTATAATAATAATAGAATTAATAATTTGAACATTTATGAACCGCTCTTACACAGATGGTCTCACAGCGCTATTAGAGAAAAGACAATTGTAATAGGTGAGTTTTTGAGAGCAGTATTTAACTGTTTCAAAGTTGGAGAATGACAAACTTCACGAGAAAAGTGGAATTGTTTAAAGTAACTTAATCGGTACTGAGTAACTATCAAAAAGTTACTTTGACTTCTTGAGACCCGTGACAGTTACAATACAGCGCCACCCCGGTAAATTGGGGCGCGGCGAGACGAGCAGCATAATTGAGAACCAGGGACACAAAATATAGGCCTACAGGGTTATGATAATTTAAAGATAATCTGTACTTTTCGATAATGTAACTAGCATCTTTAAATTAACCAGTATTATGTCATGTGATTATCACAGGGATAAGGCTTTGCATTTAGCTGAATGCAGTTAGTAGGCCTACAGTACTACTGCAAACCCACTGAGGTGAACGAGGAACCTCTGGCTCTCGTGACGTCACCGTCCGTCATCACATCATGTCTTATTTGAGAGTTTACCTCTTTCGGATTTTGTTCTCCGATATATTCGTTTACTGATAGGCAACTATTATTATCCTCAAAATGTTTAGCACAATTGCACAATTTTAACATATAGACTACACGTCTCTGGGGCGGATACAGGATTTGGCGGGAGGCGTTCCGTGAGTCGAAACCACCTCAACCCACAATGGTTGGGGGCTGAGGTGAGAAAACTTTTGGAATATGGACCTGTAGGTGCCCCGACATTGCACTCTTATAATCTTACCGGTACTATGTTCATAACGATAAAAATAATAGGCCTATATCAACAATACAACACACATTATTTTTCTTAATACAATTTAGGGGGTGCGATCGCACCGTCTGTACTCCTCCCCCACCCTTGCATTTGCCCCAGCGTCTGATTCTTACTAATGTTTTCACTTAATCAAAAGTTCTGCACGTGCATGTGTGTCAATGCAAGTCATCGCAGATCACCACGTGTTCGAACTCTGAACTGACACACGTACGAGTCCTTGGTTAAAGATCAATTCAATATTCAAAATTCAATATTCAAAAGGAGCACAGAAGTTGTTCACTCAAATTTTTCACTTTTATCGACTTTTTGAACTATAATTGTACCCCAATACCAATAAACACAGATCTTGTCTGTTTTATTATTAAACATAAATTCCGATCGAAAATCGAGATGTTGTTCAAAAATAAGAAAACACAATAACCTAAAACGCATTTATTCATAATTTTTGCAGAACAGGGTGTCAAAATAATTTGATTATCTCTTACCCTGACGCCACCATTCATAAGGCGCACGTCGAGGGTATTCAATGAGCATAAACACATATTTTTTATTAGTCTGGGGGTTCAAAAAGTTGCAGCTTGACATCCGGAATTCAAATTATAAGTATTTTCTTCTATCATGTACTTACTTGCTCCTCTTAAAAAAGGCTTTAAAAATGGTTTTATGTGGAAGTTATACAGCATTATATAATAGTTTCCGAAATTACGAGCTGACAGAATTTATTTTCTCGGCATTAGCTGATAACAAAACATACTTAAAAAACGCCGGGGTACTTGAAAAAAACACACTGACACTTCAAAGTCCAAGCATATCAAACAACCTTTTCAATTATTGATGTTAACATTATCAGACATGCGACAAACATGGAGTTTGTAGGCTGTGGTGTAAGGTCGATGTCATTCAAACAAGAATGCTACCGATACAAGGGGAATGAAAGTAGGAATAACTTAGCTTCAATCTAATATTGTTTCGGTAGGCCTACCTTTAGTTTCGTCAGTACGGACCTGTCGGTGAGACACTATTGAGGCCTACTATAGAAGTTAAAATCACGTGACAAAATATCGAATGTTCCGGTCTGTGCGGCACTATTTCATAATGTCCTTCGAGTTTGTATTCAATTGTCGAGGAGTAGTGCCCCTAGTTGACCGGATATGCCTAGATTAGTATAGTGTCACACGCACAGGATGGACGCCCAGCGTTGTCATAGCTTATTATACTAGCCTACCGCCTTGAACTTAGAATAAACCCTAAGAGCAATAGGATTTGGCCAGGCAGACAGAAACTTTCATACAGCCCCCAGATTGTGGATCCTATAATAGTACCACAGTTCTCCTATTCCTGACAAATCCAAAACAAAATGACTAGTGAGAATATTTTTTATCTGGTTATTTCTAAATGAATTAATATATTATTACTCATTTATTAGACTAGCCGATTAATATTTGGGAAAAAGTAAGGAAAAAGCTTAAATAATTGGCTCCACTATGTGTGAGCCCTCGAGTTTGAATGAAGAGAGACTTAGTAGTGGTCTTAGATCCGTATTGATATCGTACGGGCATAGTCTGCGGTTCAGCGGTATGACGCTCGCCGAGATAGCGAGGGATTGTTGGTTCTATTCTTTTTTCATACAACTATAATAATTTTGTTGATGAAATACGGTATGTTGATACAATTTTCATACCATCATGTTCCACTGTATTTTTATCTAAATATAATAGAGATATACACTAAACAGTCTTGCGTTTATGCTATATATATACTGTCTCTTATACACATCTAGATGTGTATAAGAGACAGGTATAAGAGTCAACATTACTTCTTTCTAGATATCAATGCAGTGTCGGTGCCGTAACAGAATACTAATTTGGCGTAGATCATAATAGCCTCCGTAAAGTCATTAGACCTATATCAAGGAGTTTAGGCTTGGGTTGCAAACTACCTCAATGGCGATGCGTATCTGTTTACAATACATATTTACACCGGGTTTGATTTGTTATCATCATCAGAAATACACACTCAGCTTATTCTACAATCGGTAGTTATACAATTAGAACAGGCGAACACATAGAAGGTCGTACCTAAGCCGTTGTTTTGATTGAGCTGTTCTGACACTTGTTATCGTCGTTCTGTCTGATGCATTAAGCCAATATTGAACGTTATATATTGAACGTTATTCGATGGGCCAGCTGGGCTGTGACCAACGTCCTACCACGAGGTTTGTGAATTACAGCTGCGCAACGCACGATAACACAAATTTAAACTACAGTACGTTATAACCTGGCATATTTTTCATAGCAGGTATAAATTCAACAATCCCCCCTCCCCCGGGGACGATACGGTTTCGGAAAAGTAGGTTCATCCATTTCATTACAGGTATACAATAGACTGGAACCATTGGGTATATACAGCAGGATTTTACATATTATTTTACAGAAAGATAAGTCAACTTAGCCTTAGTATACAAGTTAGAAAAAGGGCTTAGGCCTAAAAAACGAATGATCAACTTACCTTCTAATTGAACTGCAATCTTACGAACTTGACGTAAAATCACCTTAGACGCTTGGTATACATTTTCCGATAGTTCAAATTTACTATTGGTTCCATTTATTGGAACCAAAAAAAATACATATGCTTTGTCAGTTTCAATTTCAGATCCACAAACATCAAAAAGTGTTTCAGGTGTTAAAATATTAATACTTGATTCCTCCAATTGCTTCGTTGTGAATTGTTTTTGGACTCTGATAGTAATACTAGTAAATTTTACTTTTTTAACTATAGCTTTTAAAATAACAACATCCCTTGTCATGTTATTGTCCAATCGTATGTTTTTCGAAGCATTGCATGTTGAGCCGCTAAACACAACCGGTAGGCTGACAATTGTAATCACAAACGCTAAACAAACGCCGACTCGTATATAGGCCATTTTAAATCTACAAGTGCGTTTTGTGATATTTGGAGTAGCAATACTTTCTTCGTTTCTTTCAAAGTGCATAATGAATGGATTAAAGATTATAGTAGAAGTATTATGCAGTACAAGTTCCGGAAATGAAATCTGATTGGTCAATGGGGAGACAAACTACAAATGTTGCGCAACTTTCAAGCACTATTTGTATATATAAAGCTATCTCCCTTTTTACCCATAGTCCAATTCAATACATTTACCCGTGGAAACAAACACCCATCCCCCTCCCTCCCATGGGTCGCGTTATTCAATCCCCCGACAGAGATCGGGACATGTCTATCTTATAGCGCTCCAACTTAATCTACTAGTGGTCATGACAACTGTATAAACAAATATCTCGTTTGTACTACTGCCCTCTAGTTAAACTTTGCTATTTGTATTCTTACACTCCTTGGTGGAGTAGGACGAACCGGTTTGCTGTATTTATACTCATTAGGCCCTATATAATATAATTTTGGTTCCAGAAACATACTATTTTTTTAGATCGTCGACGCTTAAGTCGACACATTTCCACTATAATATAAACTGTGAACGGGACTATTCATCCAAGTGTGGTGAGGTGGTATGGTGTCGTAGGTCTATAAATAGCGTCTCCTGTGGGCTTAGCACAGTAGTCCTATTTCTGGATTGTTACCCCTGTCAAATACCTTTACAAACTCAAAGGTGCAACTCGAAGGTATATTGCAGAACAGAGGTACCGTATTTAAGCATATAATGTAATAATAATATAATATCAACCAAACCGAGGGTATTCACATCGCAAAGTAAAGTAAACGAAGACCTTTACTGATAGTCTCTGGAACGTTGAACGTTGAATGAAATCTTCATAAACAGTCGTAGATGTAGGCTTATGTAGCCAATCATCCTTGATAAGCAATGTACTGTAGTTATAGAATTTCAGGAGGGACTACACCTGTACAAATCATAAGTTAGGACTAAGTCTATGTATGCTACGACATTATATATCATTTATAACATTTTTTTAAATATTTATAATTGATTTTTGATTATATTTTTATAGGTCTTCTCTACAACAGAAAAACACACAAGGAATTTTTTATTCATGACAAAATGTCGCAAATATGTAATGACATTGTTGGTGTCAATGTATACAAAAGGTTTGGAATTCTATAGAATACAAAGATAGTTAGGCTAAGTCGGTGTCATATATCTGAACTTAGAATCATTTTAGCATTGTAATAACCTGTGCTATTTATATCATGAAATACAAAGCGTGTCAGAGAATATAACCTTTAATAGACCCGATGTATATTAGAAACGACTTTGCCTAAAGTTTCTGGGAATTTAGGACGTGGTAAAGTACGAACAGACAAAACTTGTGTTATGTAAAATCAACTATTTCCCCATCGATCATAATGTATATATATTACATATATACATGTATGTATGTATGTATACACACACATATATATATACACAATATATATATATATATATAACCTATATAACATATAACCCTATATTTCGTTATAAAGAATTACAATTTAGGCATATATAATATATATATAATATATATATATATTTATAATATAAATATGATACATAAATTATACCTTATTTGAATAGGCCTATATACAGCTAAAAACAAGAAGCAATATATTTTCATTATTTTATTTTTTATTATTAACTTGTAAATATTAGGAATAGAAAAGGAGAGCTTGTGGATGGTGAAATATCAATCGACCTTCTGTACCAGGACATATGGCTATAAAAGACCGTTTTCAACAGCCAATTAAACAATGACGTTTCCAGCACAAAATCCTAACTAAGGAGATCATCTTTTCCTTGCTGGTATTTGAATAATAATAATAAATGAGAATGGAGCAGTGTTCCTTTAATAAATAAAATAAAATAAGAACATTTTGACCACCGAGCCTTGACATGCAAAATGTTACTGGTTCTCACATCAAAAAAAAAGTTTTTTAAATGAACATCCTTATTTAAGGGACACTTTTTAAAGGAAAGTATATCTTGTAAGACTATGGCCAACCCGTATTCAGTTACACCACTATTAAAAGTAACTAGAAAGATTATATTTTTTTCTAGAGGGGATTTTTGTGCTATCGTCATTAGTGTGATGACGAGTGTGAAGTGTTAATTTGCGCGCGTAGCACATTACATGACGCGTTCTTTTCGCGTATTGTACTGATTGATCGAAGACTTCCTCATTAAATATTTCCTTTTAGTTACTTCTGTCAAGAACATTACGACGAAGTATGCCTGCCTGGGCATCGATACTAAGTGAGGGATGGCATGTTCATTAGCTTCAATTAGGCCTAAGGTTTAAAAGAAGGACGCATAGCGTAGGTACTGTACAGTCAACGCACCAATACATGAAAACCCACAAACAGTTAGCCTTACTGTTGCCTATCTAAGATACAGTAGTTCAGGTGCTCAAGCCTTAGGAGTCCTTAGTTCAGTTAAATTTGTTTGTGGGTGGGGAAACTTGTTTATATTGTACTGTATTTTTACATAGAAACCTGGAAGAGCGGGTAATATTGTATTATTATCATTTGTGTACTATTGGTACTTGATCATGGTATTGTTTTTTTGTTTTTGTTTTTTTCGTTTTATTGTTTTTGTTTGCCTATCACCGACAGATAGGCAAAATTATAAAATGTATTGGCCTAATAAAAAAAAATTTAAAAATTCTCTTAATTTCTCAGAGGAACACATTAATATGATTTAATTTGATTTTATATTATTTAAAGCAATGTATATACACATTCAGTGTATATAATAGTTCATACTACTTACCCTTATCTAGGTCTGGGGAAAATTGATTCCCTTGAACTTTGTAAACTTATAATCCACCCTTCTTTCTGTATCAAGAAATTGAGGCCACTTCCAATCCATATTTTCTTTCTTCGCTAACATCCAAAGCTCACTATCATGTGATTGGTTGAGCAGCACATATCCTTACTTCGTGTAGATGCACGCACTAACCTCACAATCACACATCACAAAAAAGTAAGACAGTTGTTTTTTAACTCGCCCCTTTCGATAGTTTTTAGCTGTATCGAGTCTTGTGTGCGTCAGACTGCGTCAGTTAACTGTTGCACCGTTTGCGCTTGTTACGCGGCTAAGTTCAAGTGGTATGCACCAAAGATGGTTCACACTGGAAATTATGGCGGTCTCATCATAGAAACGTGAACTAAGCTTATAGAATGCACTCATTAACACGCACTGGGCTTAAACTCGAGAAGAGGCAGCCTAAAAAAGGATCCCCACTGTTATAGTTGGCAAAAGTAATCTCGAAAAGAAGCCCATTTCCAAAAGATGTCCCTCTCGATAAGAAGGCCATTCAAGGGTCCTAAAAAAGAAGCCAAAGGCCTCTATTCGAGGTTTTACGCCGAAGTTCCACGTCACCTTCAAAATTTAATTACTGTACATTCATTGATAATTTTCATTATTATGATTACTTAGAAAACAACTCTAGAATGATTAAGCATTGGTGAAATTCATTAACAATCCTCTGTTGATAATCAATACTGACAGACCGCGTTGCTAATTTGATGAAAGGATTACTAAACGAATGAGCAACATAGATAAGTGGATGACACTTAAATAACGATATGAAGTTCGCTGACCTAGCCCAATACTTAAACCTTCTGTCGGCAGACGAATATGCAGTCAAACTGGTATTATTAGTAATTTATATGATACCGTATATGGATCTTAGGGAAATCAGATTTAACTATAATGACCTTAAAGAGTGGTATTCCTTAGAATGACGAGTTTTTATTCTCTCTTCCGATAGAACGTTCATAGCCTGGGGATAAAATGTTTAACCTCAAAGAGCAGATACTTGAAAGGAAATTTCCTACGCGAGACAACTAAAACGAAGCGTCAGGAACTCGCGACACGTTCCTATAATTACTCATTATATAGCAGAAATAGCTAAAAGAACTCCCTCGTGCTTTTGTTATAATTATTAATAACGATATTCAGTGCTTTCTATCTTGACATCAATTCGTGCAATTGAGTACTGTTTGCCGGATATTCAACGCAAGTCAATATATAACAACGAATCAGTTTATAATTAGAGGCACGCATTCTTCATATTAACTACATAGCTAATTTTAACTTAATGGTTGATTATTAACTAATTACACGGCCTAAACATTTCTCTATAATTAAATTGTTGCTTAATTGATATCTAATGCACATCCACGATCGTCAATCATAACTGTCTGTAATAAGCTAATAAACATTATAATTTTAATAAATGGACATGGATTTAATTTATCAATGAAATTTAAATTGCCTAATGACATATTTGATTCTTTACATGGGCAATTAAAATTAAAGTTTCAGATCACTTTTTCTTAATGGACCTCGCTAAGCCCCGCCCCTTAGATATTGTTGCTAAGGTCCCACAAGGCGACAGTGTTAAAACATACGCGAACACGTGCGTTTGTGGGACAACACGCGTGTGTTTGTGAGACGCGCGCGTATTCCTAGCACTGTTCTGATTAGTCAATTGTTAAGTTTGATTGACACTCCGGAAAGGTGTATTTAGTTTTCCAGAGTTTATGCCTTTAATCTATTCTAACGATTGAAATGTTCAATCAGCATCAACAGAAGAAACTCCTTCGTCGTCTTTAATAATAGCATGGTGATGATGATAATGATAATTACTGTGTTTTCATGAAGAATGCATGGCTTCCAAGTCGTAGAAGTCATGTTCCTGGAGAATCTGTCGTGCAGGCTGACGGACAGATGTTTGCGACGCGACAGCTAAAACGCATGTACAAGTACACACATACAGATTTATCGCCATGTTTACTACAAAAACAAAGAGGTTTGAGCAGGTTTGTGTCACTATTGATACGTTATTGTCGCTCAGAATGTTCAATAAATCTGATGTTTGCCTTATTGTCTGTTTAAGAATGGGAAAATTTACCTTAGCCCTAATTGTGAAAACGTGTTAAAGTTCTGGAGAAATCTGGAAGAAATTGAAATTCCGGCAAAAAATGTGGAGTTTCCTGGAGAAATTGAGATGAAATAAAATTCATGGAGACTCCAGGGTAATCCTGGAGACTCAGAAGCTCTGAGAATGTTGTGTTAGATCATTACAGACCGTCAGCTGTAAAAAATTCAGAATCATCCTATTCCAAATATAGCTATGTATCATCCTGGATGTTATCTCATCATTTAGTAGATAATAACATCATATAGTCCAAAGGA